GGAACTAAACATCCCTGTGTTATCAACATTATTCTCATCCTAAATCCAAAACACAGCACTACACCAGCTACTAGAAAGAAAACTAACTCTATCCCAGCTGAAACCAGGACAAAAGTACATTCACACACTTTAACAGATGCACTGAGAAATGAATAGACTTCAGAAACATTATTGTTGCCATTTCTTTAACACCTCTCATCTTTGAGAGAAAAGTAAGAAATTAATTGACTTAGTATTTTGTATGCTATGAAAAAATTCACTCATCCTAATATTTGCAAGAGCGCCAACCTTACCAGATCCTCTTTCAAATCTTTTCCTATTTAGTTTGCTGTCAAATACCAGGAAAATTTTCATCTGAAGTTCAACTGTAAAATATCCGGGGGCTAAGACCCCATCTTGTTTTCATATAAACGAGATGCCTGCTACATTTTTAGACGCTTTTAAAACGCATCAGTCCTATTGAAAAAACAGAAGGACCAACAAAACAAACAAACAGCCTCTATGTGTAATAGATTTTTATCTTACTTTTCACAGCGAATCATCAGAGGGCCAGTAACTACTTCTCAGTTGCTTCTGCCTATGCAAGTTAGAGACCACAACTCTCTCTGTTCCAGACTGTGCTAAATTACTGGACAGCAGAATGGAAGGACGATTTTATGGACATGACACCTTACAATTCTGCAAGATATTAATATGCCACAAATGGTAAATTCTTTTATGATGCTCAGTGGCTGCATCCTCCTCATTAGCTGAGAGGTAGTTTCTTTCAATGCACAGGGATCCTGTTCGTTCACACTGCAGCCTTCCTTCCTACAGCTATTCTATTTGCAGGATTTTCTAGAGCTGCTGCCAAAATTTTGACAGCTAAGTGGCTACCATTCAGAACAGTACTCACTGGAACAGGCATGCATTGCATGATAAAAAGTCATATTAGTGAATTGACATTGCACACCAATTACACAGTAGTTCTTTATTCACTTTTCCACACAAATGATTACAGAAGAAGCCAAGTTGTACTGCTCCATTTTCAGGACCACAACACAGATGGAGTCCTGAAAACTGCTTTCATCTTGTATACATTAAAACAGACAGCAGACTACTTTTACTGTAATTGTATTTAAAAGATCAAGAAATCAGCAAATCGAACGGTGACTCTGACCATGAAATCAGCTGAAGAAAACTCCTCAGACTATCGTCTTCAGTTTATTCAGCTGTTACAGAATACATGGCTAATTGAGTAGCTGCAAAGATTATTGAGAAGATGCTTAAAACTCTTATCGAACACTGAAATTATGTCAGCGCTATGCTATTTAAGGATTATTACTAAAGCATTATTAACGAAAAAAATTTTCTAACAGGTAAGCTTTGGCATTTGTTGGTCTGCAGTATTTTCAGATTAGCAGGAAGCTGATAGATTTTGGGCCTCTCTCAGTTGGATGATCTTTTGCAAGTTCTGAAATTTTCTAGATGGGACGACAAAAGAAAAACTTCAGTGAACATTTCTGAGGAAGTTGTCTGTAAAGCTTTGAAGGGACAAAAGAAAAACTTCAGTGAACATTTCTCAGGAAGTTGTCTGTAAAGCTTTGAAGAGGGTGAGGAAACTAGT